GCGCCTGTTTTCCAAACTGGACATCAGGACCCGTTGTTCGGCACTCAGTTTGACAATAGCACAGACTGAAAGTGAGGCTGTGGTGGAAAATCTGAGGTTTGCATACTCACTGTAGCACCAGAGATGGTGGCCTTGGCCACTTGCAGCCAGAGTTCTCAGCGCTGGCCAGCTGACCACCCTCAGAGCCTTTTCCTGCCTTTCTGTTTGTCCAGAGTCCTGTGGGGCTGATTCCCTGCTGGCCTGGAATTCCACACGTAGTTCCTGGCCATCTCTAGCATGCCAGGCACCATGCTGCTCTCTGCTTCCGCACAGGTAGAGTGGCTTCTTTTCCCAGGGCCCAGCCTGCCTCTGCTCTACATCCTTCGCAGCTGCCAAGGCCCCGGGAGCTGGTGTGGGCCAGGGCTCCTCCTGCCTCTGGTCATAACATCCAGGTAGAAACAGTTTCTTCTTAGGAGGGTTTTACCCTGCTCCTGCCTGCTTGTTATATACTAGGTGACTTTTTGGGAAGCTGCCCTCGCTTCACCCCATCATCCTTCTACAAGTTGCTCTGAAAATTCAGAATCTCAGGCAAGGCTCCTTTGATCTAACCTCCATCCAGTTTTACATAATCCAAGCATCATTTGTACAGTTGGCTGATGCCACTCTTGGTTAGTAAGCAGCCCTCCTTCTCCTTCACCTGCTCCCCCTGGGTCTGGGAGTTAAAAATAAGTTGGCTTCAGTGCATGAGTTCCCTCACAAACATGATTATTCGGTCTGCCAAGCTCAAGCTCCACCCTGCTCCCAGAGGGCCATTTCAGATGATTGTTTACACCAAAGGGTATACTGCTCTTTGAAGGCATCCTTCCCTAGCTGTGGCTTCTCTGTGCTCCATGAGGAGACCCAGAGGAGACGCTGGAAATGTGAGTAGGAATGAAATGGGCCTCTTGACACCACTAGCTCAGTTGGAGATGAGAAACCAACATTCACATACATGCCAACCTTAGGAGCCCTCAACGCTGCCCTATAAACAAGTTCAAATGGATCCAAGGCCTACTTGTACTAGGGTCCCAAGGCCGCTGTAACAGATTCCCCTGAACTTCGTGGCTTCAGAAAACAGAATTTCATTTGCTCAAGGTTCTGAAGGTCAGGTGAGACCAAGGTGTCAGCAGGGCCTCACTCACTGCAGAAGTTCTGGGGGAATCTGGTCTTTGCCTCTTCTGGCTTCTAGAAGCTGCTGGCTTTCCTTAGCTTGTGGCTGTATCACTCCAGTCTCTGCCTCTGTGGTCACAGTGTCTTCTCCTGTGTGTGTGTCTCATCTTCTTATGCCTCTCTCTAGTGAGGACTCTGTGACAGCACTTAGGGCACCATGTCTCAGGAGCCTTGATTTGATCATACCTGTGAACAGCTTGGCCATTTATAGGCAAACATGTAAGGTTCCAGGGATTAGGCCCAGATACCTGTGGGGGCCATTTTCAACCTACTGACTCCATCTCCTACCACTCTATCTCTCTCTCACTCTGCCCCCGTATCCCCATCCACTGGTCTCCTCATCATTCTGAAGCACTTTGGGTGGATTCACTGCTGTCTCAGGATTGCTCAGAGGTTCACAGAGTTGTTGTGTTCATTCCGACATTACCTTTCAGGGAGGACTGCCTGGATAGCACATTTAATAGTAATATCCTTTTCCTCACCGCACCCCAGCACCCCTAAACCCTTTCTTTACAGCATTCTTCCCCTTGTGTACTTATCACTGACCCCTCCCCCATCTAGAACATAGTCAGAGGAGATAGGGGTTTTTTGATTTGATTTTTTTTTTTAATCTATATTTTACTGTGGTTTGGGTGAAAGTTTACAGAGCACGTTAGTTTCCCATTCAGCCATTTGGGGACATTAGTTGCCATCCCCTCAATGTAACAGCCCTCCACTTCCTCTCTGGGTTCCCCATTTCCATTTGCCCGTCTTTACTGCTCTTTCCTGCCTTCTGAACTTTGGTTTTGGGCAAATGCTGCCCTTCTGTTCTCACGTGGTTGGCTGTTCTGAGGTCGTTCTGTTCCTGCTCACTTTCTAGGCCTGTCTACTGTTTGGCTGAAAGCTAGTATCTGGGTGTGGGCTCTTATTTGCAGGTCCTAGTCTCGGGGTTCCACCAGTCTCTATGAGACCAGTAAGCCTGGTCTTTTGTATGATTTTGAATTTTCTACATTTTCACCCTCCTCTGCCCAGGACCTTCTGTTGTGATCCCCGTCGATTGATCAGCAGTAACAAGTAAGCTTCTGGTTGTACTTTTTCCAACACAGGTTTGTTTGTTCTTCTGACATTCCATGGTAGCTTTAATATTCTCCACCTAATTCAATCTGGTTCTTTTGGTGTCAGGCAAGTGGAGGCTGTGGTTTGTGTGGTCCAATTATTTTTTGGACTAATTGTTTCCTTGAGTCTTCCCCCACCCCCACTTTTCTTTGTTCTGGATGGGAAGAGACCATCCATATGGCCACTCACAAGCTTTTAAAATCCCAATCACTAGTCACCAAAGGAGGCTCATGTTTTCCCACTTGACCTGAGTGTAAACAGGGATTTTTGTTGTATTCCCCAGTACCTAGAGCCGTTCTTGGCATGAACGATGCTCATCCTGAACCTATCTGTACAGCTCGAGGGAGATAAGTTAGGGAAGACTCCTCAGTGGGAAGTGTGAGCTGAGAGGGGCATCTTAGCTGGAGTGACCAGCCTGCAACAGGCTTAGAAGCCAGGGGTAAGGTAAGGAAGATGAGGTGGAGCTAGCTGGCTCTCTGTAGTATCCAGGCAAGCCTAAGTTTGGGAAGCCTGTGAGATGAAGGGTAACGTGGTGAGACAGAAAAGAAGATGGCCCTACTCGTGTACTTCACAAAGTAGCCAGTAGTTGCTGGAAGATTTTCCTGGGCAGACACAGGCAGTGCTCCTAGCTGCTGTGATTTTCACATCCTCTTCCAATGCCTATGCCAGCCTGCATTTTTCCTTCCACCCCCTCACATATCCCAGAAGAAAGAAGGTAGTTGAAGAGTTTGTAAGAGATGTTCACAGAACCTGGGGTGCCCTGAATGTGGTGGTTTTTCCTACCTCTCCCCACCCTCCTGTGGATGCAGTGTCTCTCAGGAGGAGGGAAATTGGCCACCATCACTGTAGCCTTTGTCAGCTCTGCTCTATAGTCCCTGGCACCTTTGCAGAGACAGCAGGCTTGTGTGGGCCTGAGAGCTTTGATTAGCAAAGCTAGCAGGCTGTAGGGTTGGCTTTGGAGCCCTTACAGGGGTGTGTCATTTGCAGTGGTTTGAGGGGTCTGTGGGAGAAAGGGTCTTCCTCCTTACTTTTCAGTCAGTGTAACAGCCTTTTTAATGTGCTGTATTAATATCATAATGGTTTCTAGGGGCGAAGGCATTCACAAATATATACGATGCTTGGTTTCTGTGTAGTGTCAGGGCCAGATTCATCTACAGGGCTTGGGGTATGTGTCAGAGATGTGGACCTACAGGATGTGCTGTCTGTTTCCTAAAGGAGGGAACTGTGGGAGAATGGATCTCTGGATTGTCTTCCTTAGTCCGGGCAGCTTCTCCCTGGTTCTATCACAGAGCCCGGTAGTAGGCATCTGGGCGGAGGAGGAGCCAGGGAGGCTCAGAGCTCTTGTAGCCCCTCCACCACAGCTGTCTCACATGGCATCTGTTCTCACAGTCCTGCTCAGGCTGCCCCTGCCAAGCTCTTCCTAACAGCTGGTGGGTGGTGAGTTGTTGCTGTTGATCTTCTTTTTGCCCTTATCCTTCCCTTTTCTGTTTGTAACAACCTCTCGTGGGAGGTCAATAGAGCTGTTGGAAGAGACGGTTCCCAGGCCCTCATGTTTTTGGCAGCTTGTGCAAAGACGTTTGAGAGGAACTGGTTTCACTGGAGCGTTCCCCCTTGGGTCCCTCCCTTGGAATGGAAGTAGGGACTTGGGCGGGGGATGGGCAGAGGGGGGAGACTAGTCCTCGGCTTCATGCTTAGAGCCATCAGCTTCTCCTCTTGGGTGCTCAGAAAATGGGTCTACAATTCCCCCACCGAGGTCTTGGGACCTTTGTCTTCCATGCAGTGGGGAGAGGGAGGAGAGTAGACAGAGAGCCCTGTTCTCATGAGGGGCTGAGTGGGGTCCAAGAGAAGGAGTGGTGGGGGCAAAGCCAAGAGGAACAGGAACAGGGCCCAGCACTTGGCCCCCTCCTTTCTCAAAAGGTCTCCCCCCCACCCCTCGCTTGTTCAGGAAGACTTGGAAGTCTCTAAAACTTGTTCTGTGTGTAGTGAAAAATCAAGGAACAAGCGTGAGCCATTATACTATACAGAAGTTGTCTGCGTTAACCAAGGATGGAAGATGGGGAACCTGTTGTCTTCTTTCCTGTTTTAGTAATGGGATCCCATCTTTAAACTCATTCCTACTTGACTCCCAGGAAGCCGGGCCGGTTTGAGGCATAGCCAGGGTAATAGAATAAAGAACTCTTGTTCTTGGGAGTGTGTTTGGGTTAGAAAGAATGTCCCTGGGTGTCAGAATGGTTAAGCTCTTGACTACAAACCCCAAGTTAGAACTTCAAACCCACCCAGAGGTACCCTGGAAGAAAGGCCTGGTGATCGGCTTCTGAAAATCACAGCCTTGAAAACCCTAGGGAGCACTCTTCTACTCGGAACCCTAGGGAGCACTCTTCTACTCGGAACCCTAGGGAGCACTCTTCTACTCGAAGGCACAAGGGGTCCTCGTGAGTCAAACTGACTCTACAGCAACTGGGTTTTTTTGGAGAAGGGGTCGTCATCACTATGGGGAGCACCTGTTTATAAGAGCTGTGTAGAACATGGATGGATGCAGTAAGCAGTTGAGGAGGTAGTCAGCCTTGTTGGCTATCAGGGAAGGCTACCTGGAGGATGTGGAGCGGGCAGTGGGTGGGCAGTGTTCAAGGGTGGATGAGCAGCTCTTAGAGAAGCCTCCACAGACCCCACCTCTGCTGAGGAAGCTGCTCTGTCTCACCATGCTTCTCTTCCTGCAGACCCCCCTGTCTTGGCAAGAGCTGGAAGGCGAGCAAGCCAGCTCCTGTACTCACAAGCGCTCGGCATCCTGGGGCAGCACAGACCACCGAAAAGAGGTGACTGCCCCCACCTGCCCCCACCTGGCTCCCTGGCCTCCTCTCTAAGTGCCAGCACCATGGGCCATGGTCCACTCCCAGGTGGATCACATTGGCATGTCACCTCCTCCACCTCGCCTTGTCATATGAGATGGCTCCTTTGTGTCGGATTCCCAGCCTCCCAGCGGCTAGGCTTCAGGAGCCTAAACCCTTTCTTTTGGTAGAGGGACTTGAGCAGCAACTGCCAGTGCCATCCAGCAGCCAAGCCCAGGGGTGTTCTCACATTGAGGTTGAATCCAGAGAAAGACAGGGAGTCCCTCCCAACCTTACTTATATTTAACTATTCCTTTAGCCTTCATTCTAAAAGAGGAAGAAATTATTTCTGTGTTCTCAAACCCTTTTTTCCTGACCCTCCCTCTCCCTCAGGGGTGCGTGAGCCCTCCAGGCTGAGTAGAGAAAGCCGTAGGCTGGAATCCACAGCTCCCAGACCAGCTCCACCCTGACATGCTTTGTGAAGGTGCTGGAGAGGGCTCATCTCTCCCTTTACGAGGGAAAGTAGCTTTTGCCCTTCTTGTTGCTGTGAGTGACAAGTGAATATGTGGTAAAAAATGCACTGCGAGTTTGACTAGTGGGAACTACAAAGTATTTAAAGTTCTAGTGATCAGAATAGGCATGTTATTTGCTCTAAGGGTGGGGTCATGGTATGAATGATTCACAATCAATTTTCTGGCCACAGAGCAGCAGAGCCACTTTCTGAATTCCATTTAATTTAGATAGCTCTCTGTCCCCTTTGCTAGCTGAGGGCTAGTGGGTCCGGAATGAGAAATGTGACAAGAGATAATAATTAAAATTGTGGATGATGATCCAGATTGTTACAGGATATGGAAATGGTTAACATATTCCACTGCTAACCAAAAGGTGAGGTTTTAGTGTACCCAGAGGCACCTCAGAAGAAAACGCTAACAATCTACTTCAGAAAGATCAGCCATTTAAAATCCTATGGAGCACAGTTCTGCTCTGATACACACAGGGCTATCTTAATTTGAAATCGATATCAACATTTATCCTTTTTTTCAAATGGAAGTCAGTACAAAATCTAATAATCCGTCTTTAGAGTCTATCCCCCAGTTCAGTGTAATCTTCTTGAAATGGGGGGAAATACTTCCATCCTTTCTGGTCTCAAAGACTTTGAGAAACTTATGAATATACTTTGAGGAATAAACTGTATCCAGAACCAATTTCCGTTTTTATTAATAGAGTAGTATTCCATGCCTTTGGAATCTGTGAAATGCAAAATGCTTTTTAGTGTTGCATTATTTTTAAATTTGGGGAAATTGATCCATAGATGGAACACATTGTAATTTAAAAAAATCAAATAACCAAGCAAAAAAGGTCATCATCAGCTTGCCTGAGGAGCCAAATGTCACAATTTTTAATACCACTAACTGAGCCTAAGCACTGGACTGTGAATCACAAGGTCAGTGGTTGGAGCCCACCAGCCACTCCACAGGAAAAAGATGAGGCTTTCTGTTCCCCAAAGATTTGCAGTCCCAGAAACTCTAGGGGGCAGTTAACAGCATCCACCACCAGCACCTAACAAGGAGCCTTAGTGGTGTAATGGGTTACATGTTGGGCTGCTTAGTCACAAGGGCAGCAGTTTGAATCTACCAGCTGCTCTGTAGAAGAGAGACAAGGCTGGTTTGCCCCCCTAAAGAGTTATCTTAGGGATCCTAGGAAGCTGCCCTGTAGGGTCACTATGAGTCGGAACCAACTTACTGGCAGAGGAGTGGCAACCTAACACAAGAAGCTATTTTAAGATAGATTAGCTTTCATCTCCTTTATATAATCTTGCTGGGCCTCTGGCTGGAGCCACAGTTATAGGGAGGGACCGAATACCTTTTGGCTTTGCTTCATCTGCCTCTCTTCTCTCTGGACTGCCAGATCACCAAGTTGAAGCAACAGCTGCAGAGGACAAAACTGAGCCACAGTGGGAAAGAGAAGGAGCGGAGCTCCCCACTCCAAGGGGACCACGCTGTGCGGGGAGCTCTGAGGGTATGTTCTCCCCCCGCTGCCGGCCCCTCTCCTTCTGCGTCAGGATGTGGGCAGAATGCTCCAAGTGACCTAGCCCTCCCATATTGTATGCTTTGTGGCCACCTAGGGGAGGTTTTGGTCCAAGCTTAGGACTTGCTCAGTGGCATTGGAAGGATTTCTGGCTTTTCTGAATTTCTTCTCTTCTACCCACGCTCTATAACATTGAGGTTAACACTGCTTCTAAAGACTAACAGTACACTCTAGATCTCTCAGAGCTTTAGCTGCTGGAGAAAATGTTGATTTAGTGGACCTATTGCAAGCAATAACTGTCCCCAAATCCACCTGTATTCACTTTGTTCTGGGGGTAGATACTCATTACCCCCAGTTAGAACTGTCAGGTGCTGTTGAGTTGGCTCCAACCCAATGCACAACAGAATGAATCACTGTCTATTGCTGTCTTTGAGCCTCTTGTTGAAGCTGCTGTATCAATCCATCTCATTGTCTTTTTCTCTGACCCTCTCTACCAAGCATGATGTTTGTCTCCAGGGACGGGTCCGTTCCTTCCTAATAACATGTCCAAAATACAAGAGTCAAAGTTTCACCATCCGCACTTCTAAGGAGCATTCTGGCTATACTTCTTCCAAGACACATTTGTTCATTCTTCTAGAAGGCCATGGTATAATCAATATTTTTCCACCAACACTTTAATTCAAAAGGCATCAATTCTTTGGTTTTCTTTATTTGTTGTCCAGCTATCTCATGTATATGAGGCAATTGAAATATATATATATATATATATATACTATGGTGCTGCTTCCATGGGTGTTGGTTATGGATCCAAGTAAAATGAAGTCTTCGATAACTTCACTCTTTTCTTCATTGATCATGATGTTGCTTATTGAAGATATTTGTTTTATGTTGAGGTATAGCCCATACTGAAGGCTGTATGTTGTCTTTGCTCTTTATCAGTATCTCAAGTCGTCTTCATTATCAGCAAGCATCATCTGCATTATCATTAATTATTGTAATAAGCAAGTTGGAGACAAAGAAGAAGGCCTTGAAAAATATGGCCTTAGTGATAGAAACACTGATGGACCTCTATGTATTGGAAATACCTTTTTTCCCCCCCAAAACACAGACTGTTCCTATACATGTGGGTTTCATCAGATGGAATACTCAGGAATCTAAATGTCTACATTTGTGGGAAGAGATGATGGGAAAGCTCAAAACCAATCAGAACAAGGCCAAAGGTCATCTGGGGAATGGATCATAATTACTCATGCAAGTTCAATTTAAAGTGAAAGAAAATTAAATCTACAAAAGCCAATGTTATGACCTTGAACATATCCTAGCTAATTTAGAGGTAATCTCAAGAGTAGATTTGACTCACTGAACACTAGTGACCACAGGAGTTAAGGGGCATCCGACATGAAGAAAGCAAAAGGTCATTTAAAAGACAGAAAAGACAAAAAAATGCATTTCAGAAGAGATTCTAAATTTGCTCTTGAACACATTAGCTCTTCCCCTTTCATACATGATGGGACTTTCTCCATATCATTTTAATTGTGCACAGCCATGAAATCTTATAAGCCAGCCACTTTATGCCTTTATCATTCCCCATTTATATGTATAAAGTTTTTATTGTGAATTGAGTGATAGTTTACATGGGAGAGCATCAGCTTCACATTCATCCTATCATATTTCATTTCATTGTACTTTATGAGGGGGCTTTTAAAAGTTCATGGACAAATGGAATTAAAACACAATGGAATTTTTCCACACACGTTTTGGTATATCAAGCACTAGATTATGATTCAGTGTTCATACAGCATCCAAGTCACACACACAACATGTACATCGCCTTTATAGCCATGATACATTCTGTGAAACAGAAACAAGCTTCATGCCTTAGCAGAGATCTTCAATGTGCTGAGGTGTTCACTAGGTGTCTGACCCCAATCCACATCATTAGCAACTTTTTCATATAGGATTCAAGTTCCTCTCACATTTTTGTTATCCTTGTAGCTATCAGTGGAGTTGATCCTTTAACTTCTTGGATAATGATTTCTTTGTTTATGAGGATCTTCGTGTTGTGTGAGACAGGACTAAATCTTGGAACCATTCACTGGTTCTCCAATTTCGTGCTGTTTAATAATCTTCTGTGTCACTTCTGAATGAGTATTTTTTCCTTTGTGTCTTGCTTCTGCTGCTGCTGCCGTCACTAACACTGATTTTGGTGTATTTGGGAGCCATGATGCACATCATAGTAATATATATATGTATGTATGTATATATATTTATTTATTTTTATTGTGAATTATGTGATAGTTTACATGGAAGAACATTAGCTTTACAGTCATCCTATTGTATATTGTTTCATTGCCATGGTTACAATCCCCTATATCATCCCCCATATTTGAAAGCCCATTTCCAAATTGCTCATCTCTACCAACCCAGTCTTCTGAGGAGACAAACATGCTCCTTGATGTAAAGAACTTTCTGTTCTTGTTGGAATTTTAGGCATCTGCATTCATAAGCAAAGTCCAATCTGTAGAAACCCATCAAAATTGCAACAGTTTACACAAGCTCAAACATCATCTTCATTTGGTTGAGTTCTGGTCAATTCAGTCCTAGCCATCCTTCCTAGGTCAAATGGGCACCGGCTGCAAGTTTGGGAGTCCACACACTCCTCCCTGCCCTTTGGACTAGCTGACTCCTTCATTCACTCATTCTCTCAGCCTTGGGGCCCCCATGGGGCTAGATTAGTGCCTGTGCTCAAGAGTCCACACAACCCCCTTAACTTCAGACCAGCCAGCCCTTTTCTCAACTCATTTCTTCATTGCTGCATTCTCCCCAACTTCCACTCATCAAGTGGACCCAGGTGGTCACCAGTCAGCATACCTAACTGCTTACTAGCTCCCTTTAAATTTTATTTCTAGAATGGGGTTTTCTCTGATGGGCACAGATGTTTCCTGCTTCTGTGCATCAATAACAAACTGCTGGCCTTGAAATTCAAAATGCCATTTTTCTCCCTGTAGGTCTTTCCTTTAAATATAAAACTCTTGTTCTCCTAGGAGTTCTGAGTAGGGCTCAGGTTTCCATCTAAGCCCCTTACTCTATGAACAGGATACTTAACACAAAGCCTGTTCCTTCCAGGCAATTCCTAAGTCCTCTTAGCATAGCCAGTGAAGTATAGGCTGAAGGTGGGCTTACAGCATTCTGTAATCAAGGTGACCATATTAAGTCCCATCACACCAGAAAGTCTTTTACAATACAAAGTAGGAGAAAAATCCGGTATCCATAGTGCAGTCAGATAAACACGAAACCCTGAGCCCTTTTTCAAACACCTAAGTTTGATCTCTTCTCCATCCCTGGACTGTCTCTCCACTTGTGTGCGTATGACCTTGGGCCTCTGGCCGGATAGATCCAGTAGGCCCTGCTGCCCTCTCAGCCATCTTGTTTGTCTGTCTTTTTGCCCCAGGTGACTCCAGTAAGCAGCTTTTCTCCTATCAGCTGCAGAACATCTCTTACATTTCTTTCAACCATTACAGTTAACAACCATCAAAGTAACCGTCTAAGAATCAACGGTTTTACTGTCTCTTCATCCCTTCTCTTACAAAAACCCATGCTTTGATGAGTTGGAGCCATTACAATGAATGCAACTTCTGACACCAAACTGTAAAAGCATGTGGCAACAAACCATTGCCCCACAGCCCTATCTTCTCGCTGGGTTCAATAATCCATTGCAATGTCCACACTGAAGTCATAGACAATACTCAGTTATGAGGTTTATATGGGAAGTTCCAGTTTGGGGTCAGAAATGCTCAGGGCACAGTTGCTCCAGTCAGCTGCTGGTAAATGCCCGCAGGACACACCACTCCACCACAGCCTCAACCTGAAGGTACTTGCCTCTAGTTCTGTGGGTCAGCAAACCTAGCTCCCCACTTAAGTGCCTGGAGGGCACCCCATTCTACAAGTAAGCTTTCTTCCCAAAGTCACTCAGCTTTACTTGCTCGGTGGGCTGGGAAGCCGGGTACTCTGTCTCAAGCTCTGGTTCTTGGTTCTGTTGCTCACACTCCTGGTGTCACAGCTTGACTGATCTTGGGTCAAGGAGGTTCAATGCTCAAGAGTCCAAAGGATGCAGTCTACTCCTGCCTCCTCCTTTGGAGCCTTTGGAGAGAGTTCATTTTATACCCATGCTAGAGTTCCAAGTTTTTGCAATTACCTCTGCTAACACCCACAACTGAATGCTGTCAGCCTATCGGTATCTTCTCCCACCTACTCTTACCCAGCAGGACAGGGCTGCAGTTTGGTGGGCATTACCGACGGGGGCTAGAGGAGACATTAACAATTCACATAACAATTCACATACCGGTGGAGCTTATCACTACTGTTTCTGTTACCTCTCCCAGGCATCCCCTCCCAGCTTCCCTTCAGGGTCCACTGCCCTGCGACTAAGCCCCTGTCTACACAGAAGCCTGGAAGGGCTCAACCAAGAGCTCGAAGAGGTGTTTGTGAAGGAGCAGGGTGAAGAGGAGTTGCTGAGGGTGAGTGTGAGCCACCCCCTGAATGTACTCTCTGATTTCTACTTGAGTTGGGATGGGAATCTTGCTCTCTGGGGGCTCACAGGCTGTAGGTATATAAACAGCAATATACAAACAAAATCCTGAAAATGGGTTACAAATTGAGTTTATTAGTCCCCAAGGGACTTAATTTCAGGGAGAGCAGAAGTAGTCTTTGTGGTGGTAAGAAGAGAAGGAGCAAAGATTGGCAGAGAGGAGGGTTCCCAGCTGGGAGGAATGGGCTAGGCATTATCGGTCAGCCAAACAGCCAGCTCGCTGTACCTTGTGTACTTGGCACCACCTCCTGCTGTGTCTTAGTTCCTGCTGCCCCACTGCCTGGGTGACCACGTCCACACCCTCCAGCTCCACCTGCTGAAATGCATTCAGCCTTCACTGCCCAGTGGCCCCTGGCAGAATTATTTGCTACCATTTCTGCAAGCTCGAGCCATATTTTTATACTGACACAGTAGAAAAGGGGAACGCCAACTGGGCAAGATTAATGTGATTCTACTGGCCACACTCTCCAGTTTATGATTTACGTCCTGTCTGGTTTTTCATCTGGATCTATGTAGGATTTTATACACAACCAAACACATGGCTACAATTTGGTGTGCTGTGAGTACAAGTACAACCGGATAATTAAAAAAGGGGGTGGAGTTTAATTAATTGGTTAAGTCAATCTGTTTAGTCTTGGTGTGGCACTGTAGGATAAGCACTGGACTGTTAACTGCAAGGTCGATGGTTCAGATGTAATCAGCTGCTCCTCAGAAACCCTAAACAGGGTCGCTGTGAGTCGGAACTGAATTGGCAGCATTTAACAGCAGTATCAGTAGTCTGAACACTTGATGTGCAATGGCTTATTGCACTTAGAGGGCCCTATGGCTTGCTCCCCAAGATGAGTATGTTACTCATCTTTGTGCTTCCTGAACCCAGCACACAGGAAGTCCCTGCTTCCATGAGACATTGATCAACTCATACAAGCAAATACGTAATTACAAGCTGGGCGCAAGTGCTTCGAAGGAAAAAGCGGCGACGTTGTGGGAGAAACAGGAGAGGCCTACTTCAGATTAGCAGTAGTCAGGAAATTCGAGGGGGGCTTCAAAAATTCCTGGAAAGATTCCATTCTCTTTTCATTGCATTTTTCCTTGGAAGTTTGAAGCCCCCTGGTACGACTAGAGGAAGTGACGTTCTGTTGTCTTGTGTGCTATGAATGGAGGCCAGGATAGCAGGCGGAGACATCACAAGGCTCTCCATCTTCTTTCCCGACAGATCCTCGAGGTCCCCGATGGGCACCGTGCCCCCGCCCCTCCCCAGAGCAGCAGCTGTGATCATTCCCTCCATCCCCTGGAGCCTGGCAACCTGGCCAGCTCTCCCTCCCTGGCCCTGGCATCCCCCCAGCCACCTGGCCGGGCAAGCCGTGAGGATCACCGGGGTGCCATGGAAGAGCTGGCACCCATCCCCAGCGACAAAGGTAGGCTGAGGTGACGGCATAAGCAACAGAGCTGATGTGGGACACAGGAGGTCTTCACTGCCTTTTCCACTCTAACCAGTTTCAGGCCCACCATTTTCACATACTAGCCAACCATGTCTCTATCAGCCCTCTTTCTTCTGCACATCATACCAATAATAATAATGGTCCTTTACGTTCTTTTCTGATTGATAGTTTATACCGTCTCTGCACCTATGTTTTTAGCTAGTCTTCACTCTAATTCCATAGGTGTGCTATCCCTCACACCCCCTTTTTTTGCCTGAGGTTCATTTATTGTTAGTTGCTGTAGAGTTGGCCCCAACTCATGGTGGCCCCATGACGGCTGTCAGAGTAGAACTATGCTTTATAGGGTTTTCAGTGATCTGATTTTTCAGAAGCCGTTTCCCCTCCACTCCGTTCCTCACAGTAAACTTCATTCAAGGTGGTTGTGAAGGCTAACACATAAGATCATGTGGTCTCTTAACTTAGGGTCCTACACACTGAAACCCAAGTTTCTGCTTCCAAATCTGTACTTTCCCCCAGAGGATGAGATGTGATTTCTCCGTTCCAATAACAGTGATCCTGACATTATAAAGTATTATTGCCTGCATTGTCTGATGTGAGCCTCCCAGCAACTCCCTGAGGTGGGCTGGTCAAAGGCATGATTTAACAACACACATAGATGAACAGAGCATAGAGCAATAAGGAATAAGTGTGAGATCAATACAGATAAGGTCAATATTTGCAGCTTAGGCAGTGTACACTCGCGGTGTGGAAAGTGAGAGGAATTTTATCCTACGAGTGGGGTTGAGTAAAGATTGCTTCTCTGAGCGAGGCACGCACCCTCCTGGAAGAAGGGATAGGTTTTCAAGGCCACAGAAACGAAGAAGCTGTGGTATGTTGGCAGGCAGGGTGCTGCATTCTTGGGAGGAAACAGACCAACAGAAGTTAGAACCTCTTTAAGTCTGAGACTTGGAGTTCTGACCCCAGTCTGCCTCCTGGGAATTTAGAATTGGTGTTGGACCTTATTTTCCCCTCACTTCAACCGTACTTCATGTATTTCTGTAAACTGCCTCAAGATTTGTTTTTTATTTTATAAAACTTTTTTATTTTTCACAATGGTTTATGCATTCAGACTAGTCAATCCTATCAAAAAGTTATCTTTCATTTTTTCTGTATGTACCACCAATCTGAGGCTTTACTTTACCTTGTAAATCACTCTGGCCTGTTCTTTATAACTGATTCCAAGCCACCTTTACGCATAGTAATGGTCCCCATAAGTTGGCAGGGTTTCTACTAGTTTCATATACTGAACTACAGCTTCACCTCGACTCAGACTTGATTTTTCAAGTAATGTTCAATTTGCCCGCCCTCACAGTAAGGAAAGGGGGTGGATGCTCCTGAAGAGTCTGGGTCGGAAAGGCCACTAGTGTCTTTAAGTCTCCATTGTTGTTTTCATCAGAAAGGCACCACAGTGAAGTGGCGACAGAGTCTGGTGCTCAGGACTCCAAGGCTGAGGTGCCAGGTGGGAAAGCTCAAGGTGGTTTTGTTTTTTTTAAGGTAGAGAGAGTATAAACAGAGTCCATGGGTGGTATAAACGCTACTAGATAAAGTTTGAAGGTTCAAGCCTACCCCATGGGAAATGGCTTGGAAAAAGGCCTGATGATTTACTTTCAAATAACCTGCCAGTGAAAACCCTTTGGAGCACAGTTCTACTGACCTGGGGTGACCAGGAGGCCTAATAGACTCAGTGGCAGCTGCTTTGCTTTGGTTTGGAGTGTAAACAAACAAGAAACTGGATTCACGTAACCACTGCTGCCTGCCTCACCATGTAGCCCTTGCTTGCCTCTTGACACCCAAAGCCTGAGCTGAGGAAAGCAGAGACCTGCCCTGAGCTCCTCTGGACTCAGCCTTAACTATGTTTGCAGCCTCCTCTCCAGGCCACCCCGCCTTCCTGGAAGAGGGCAGCCCATCTCCAGTCCTCACCTTTGCTGCCTCCCCTCGGCCGAATCACAGCTATGTCTTCAAACGGGAGCCCCCAGAAGGCTGTGAGAGAGTGCGGGTATTTGAAGAGGCCTCGTGAGTACATGAACCCTACAGGGAGTGGGCGGGAGGGAGAGGGAGGTGAGCCCTACATTACCCACCTGACAGGCCAGCCCTTCTTCAGTCTTGGACACTCTCTGATCATAAAGGTGTTGTCAACTTTAGGTGATCAGTATTGTGGCTTTTCCACTGTCAAACTTGTTGACATTACCTACTCGGAGCACTTCAATCTTCGCTTATCATTATCTCCATAGAAACCTCCTCCCTGCCCGCATGCCAGCCACAAGCACAGCAGGAGCTGGGGAGGAAAGATATCTGAAACCTAAGCTCTTTGTTTCTTCTAATTTTTTTCCATCCCCAGGGAAGGTGTGAGAATTTGCTATAATAAAATGAGAGAAAAAAAGCACATGTGAGGGAAATTTTCAGAGGGATAGGGATTGAGAGAGAGACAGAATACTGTGTTCTCCAGGCAGAGATCAGAAGTGTTTCACACACACACACACAACTGCTTTCTAATTGCTGCTGAGTCAAGTCTGTGGCTCTAGTGGTTCAAGTATCTGTTTGTTGTTTTTCTAAACACTCAGGCATATATAATAATTTAAAGCACCAAAGGACACATTCTACAAGCCTGCCTCTTGGCCGCCAGCTCTCAGTCCCTCTCTTTCCATGAATTTAAGAGTCCTCAGTTGGCACCTTCTCTCCATGTCCCCATCTGTGCCTCCATCTCTGGTGTCACTGCTTCTCTGGATAAGGTTCCGCATTCTACTTGTGCTCTTTTCCCTTGATGGTCCTAGGGTCTTCTGTTTCTGAACTGTAAGATTAACTACTCCCCCATTTTTGTTACAAAACTTCTACTTTTACAATTGTAAGAGTCACAATTAGCCATGATAACAATTACTAACTATTGAATCATAAGAATCTTATCCCCATCTCTTTTCACCAGACCCATCTAGACAAGATGAAAACTACTGGGGCGGGGTGGGGGGTGTGTGAGTCTCTATGTTCCCCTGCACACTCTTAAACTATACTCCCTCTTGAAAACTTGTAAGCCAGTCACTTCATGCCTTTATTGCCCCCTCATTTTAGGTAGCCAAATGTCTAAGTTGCCTGTCCCTATCTACCCTGTTACAGAGGGGATAACATTAATATTTGATGTGAAGACTCCTTCCCTCTCTGTTGGTATTTTGAGCTACTACTTCCATGAGTATAAGTCAAGTTCATCAAATTGTAGCAATTTACTCTTGTTTCCTTTATCCAAAATTATTATTTTATTTTATTTTTTTCAGCTTTCTGTAATCAAGTTCTGATTATCAAGCCATCGAGGCTAGGTCAAATGGGTACTGTCTGCAGATTTGGGTGTTCTTGTATGTCTCCCCTCGCTTCATATCAGCTGGATGGTTCACTCTCAGCTCTAGCTCTCCATGGCTATGTCTTTGTCCATTTGCTCAGGTGTCCCTAGGTCTCACACTTTGAACCAAACAACCCTTCCTCTTCTCTCTCTCATCTCCAGGTCAAGGGGAGTCTATGGAACGTGGTTGAACTCAGCCCATTTCTTCATTGCTGCCTTTCCTCCTCTTTCACTCACCAGTAGACCAACATGGTTGCCAGCAAGCTTGCATACCTGCTCATGTATTCCCTTGAGTTTCAGTCAGGGGTGGGGAAGGGGGGCGTTCAAGTATCTTGAACTCCTAGACAGAAATTTCCAGTCCTTGCAAGTAAGGAATCTTGGACTATTTCCAAATCAGATTGGATAATTCAGAAGCCATTCTTATGCTCTTTCTTTATATATATAGTACCCCCACATTACAGGGAAACTTGAAAGAGATTGGGCCTGTCCATATGCCCCAGACAGTCTTGCTTTTTATATTAACAGGTGCTCTGAGGGCTGATTTCATTTCCCCCTGCCAACCTACCAGCCATTGCAGGGTCCACTGGAAGTTGGGGTTTCATTGTCCGTCAGGAAGTTCAGTTCCTGGTGTGTGAGTGGAGATTTAGCTGGACAGAGTTCTGGTTCTTGAGGGCACCATTCGGATCACTGAAAAGGGAAGGGACAGTCTACAATGGTAGCAGGAAGCACACTAGACCCGGAGTAGGCGTTAAGAAGAAAACCATCGCCACCAAGGGTTTTGCTACCACCATCTCTGTTGCCTCACATCCTTTTAAGTCCCTTAGGTGCTGTGGGTTGTTATGGAGGGAAGGGGCCAGACCTTGTAGCTTAAGGAGACTCCGGGCTCTTCCACTTACCCACAAAGCCACAGGATAGCTGAGTAATGACAACCTGTGTAGATATAAGGCTGTTGTTTGTCTTGATTCTTTCATAGACTCACAACACTAGAAGTCTTAACGTCATCTCATCTAGCTTTCTGCAACTGTGTTAATCATTTTAGAGGTGGTGATCCATTGATTTCTTCCTAAGATAACCAGCGATAGAAATTATTTTTATTACCTCTCCTCATTGAAAGTTTTCTGTCTTGAGTTTTGCTGTTCTTCTGCCACATTTGCCTCTTCTTTGCTGCCATCCCCTCTAACATCCCCTGGATTTCCCAGGAAGGATTCAAGCTGCTCAGGGCCATCCTGGTTGGCCTCGGATGCTTTGAGCATGGCTAGGTCTCCTATTGGTCATCTTCCAGACATGTGTGCATGTTCACACTGGAGCATTCATCTCCTGCTCCTCCTCCCTCCTCTCTCCATAAAGTGGAATTCTTTTAAACACTTCTTGGCCAGGGGACGCCTTGCTGCTGTGAAGTTTTCTAGGACCCCCAAGCCTTCCCAATCACATCCAGCATATGGGCCTTTCACATCCTTCTCACCCCATGCCAACCTGCCCTCAATTTGCACTTCTAGGATTCTGGAATGAAAGTGTAAGCCATTTGTCAGCTGTGCATTAAGTACATTTTTCTATATGTGTATTAGACTTCAATCAAAAGGTAATTGATGGGGAACTATTGGTGACAAAGTGCCACCGTCTTCCCACATACTTATCTTCTCACCTGAAAAGCCTCCCAGTCAGCCTGAAGGTGCTTCACCCTCGGAGCCTGGCCAGTCACTCTTCTTATATTATACCTGTTAACCCACTGCAGTCAAGTCCATTCTGACTCACAGTGACCCTACAGGACAGGATGCCACTGCCCTATAAAGTTTCCGAGGCTGTGAATCTTTACAGAAGCAGCTGGGTGGGTTCAAACTGCCGACCTCTCTTCCCCAGCATGGGCGTCATCTTCCGTTAGCAGCTGAGTGCTTAACCAGTGCGCCACCAGAGCTCCTTTGTATCACAGGGATTCCTTACTTCAAAATTGACTCTCTGGTCGGTCCTTCTGTTATCCTTCCATTTTGCCCAAAGGGATCAGAAGGGGAGGATGATTCTTTCTACATTAAAGGTGAGACACGTAAGGCCAGGACCTAGGTAGAACCTAGATCATCTTTTCCCCAGTTGTTACTATTCTTTCCTCCAAGCAAGGGTTGTTTTTTTGTTTTGTTTTGTTTTTTAACTATGTATTTTATAATGATAAAATAATTAATTATGAAAATATAAAAATATATACGAACAACAGAGCTCCAACCTATATCCAGCAAAAACTGACGAAACAGCAAGAAAACACAACTTAAGCAAAAATCAACAAGTATTTTACAAGACAGACCAACTTAATAAAACAACTGGACTTAGAGGACATCCACTGCCCAACAAAAGGAAAATACGCATTCTTTACATCTTTACAACAAACATTTTCCCAAATACAATATATACTAGGCCACAAAACAACTTCAGTAGATTTCAAAGGGCTAAAGTAAAACAAAGTATAATATCTGAACACACGCAACTGAAATTAGAATTCAACAAAAAGAAATTAGGTGAATTTACAAATTTGTGGAAATTAATATACACTGTACCAAATAACCAATAGATCAAAAGGGAAACCTCGTAAAATATTAGAAAATTAAAAAGATAAAATTTTTTTGGTCTTTATTGTGAATTGAATGATAGTTTATTTACATGGGAGAGCATTGGTTTTATACTCATTGCAATGATTACAATCTCCTCCATGCATCATCATTCAACAGTATTCCTAGCAAGGGATATGAAAATCACACCTTTCAAATGTGCTCAGGAATTGAGTGTCTTGGGCCAATGGTTCTATAGGAGACAAATTTCCTCCTAGGAGGACATTTCATGTCTGGGACCTTTTTTGTCACAGCTGAGGGGAGGGAGAGTGCTATTGATAGATAAAATCTATCGGGTGGCAGAGGAGTCCTCGTGTGGTACTATAGGGCAAGCACTTGATGGTCAGTTTGAACCCACAAGGTTGGGGATCCTAACTCACCAGCCGCTCCTCAGAAACCCTACACAGACTATGAGTTGGAACTGGCTTGACAGCACTGAACCACAACAGAGGGTAGGGACACTGCTGCTAAACATTGTACAGTTTGGTGTAAACCCTATCAAAGAACTCTCTGGCCCAGTATGTCAGTGGTGCTGAGTTTGAGAAACTCTGCTTCAGGCTACAAGGTATCTTGCCTGGATCTCTGCTTTCAGGAAAGTAGTGGCCTCCAAAACCCCCTTCTTAAAGAAATCTCCCAAATTAAAAGCTCCCTTGGTCTCTTCTAGAATCACATTGTCAGGAAGTTTTCCTTTCTGTCAAGCGGTAATCCCTCCTGCTTCTAGCTAAAATATATTTCCTTTTTAGTCGTACGTCTAAAAAACGGAGAACTGAGGGGCCTAAATATTTTATTGCTTTTCACGTTTTGGTTTGTGCAGAGGTCCAGCCCCCTGACACTGCATCATCACTGCCCGTTTTTCCTGGCTGGCTCCCCCCCTGTTTGTGCCCATGGACATTGTGTCTGTCTCTTTTCTATCCTCTAGGTCCCCAGGCCCTGACCTGACCTTCCTGACTTCCTGCCCTGACAAGAACAAAGTCCATTTCAACCCAACCGGCTCAGCCTTCTGCCCTGTCAATTTGATGAAGCCTCTCTTCCCCAGCATGGGCTTCATCTTCCGTAATTGCCCCTCAAGCCCGGGGTCTCCCCTTCCTCCGACCAGCCCCAGGCCACCTCCTCGGAAGGATCCAGAGGCCTCCAAAGCCTCCTCGCTGCCATTCGAGCCGTGGCAGCGCACCCCACCATCAGATGAGCCTGTGCTTTTCCAGAGCTCCCTGGTGGTCTGAGGACCCCGCCCCCACCACTGTACCATGGAGACCAGTGCCTTGGTGGCAGGCTTCTCCTAGTCCCCCTGAAGTGGGAGATGGAAGAGCCCTTCCCTCTCGGCCTTTGAGCACTTTCATTTATTGTGTCAAAGCCCTGGGTCCTCTTTCTGATGGGCATTGGCCCTTCCTAATGTGAGGGGGCCTGCCTTCTCCACAGCAGCTGGGCAGCTCACAACTCACAGCTGTGTTCCTGCCACCTCCTTCACTTGGTGGAAAACTCACCCAGAAGGTCTTGGGTCCCCCACTCTTATGTGCGAGTCCAACAACTGTATATGAGGCCTTGTCCTTGTCGTAGAGCAAGCTGGCCGAGATTGAAGGAGGGAGAGGGCATGCCACAGATCTCCTTCCGTCTCCTCCACACACACACACACACACACACACACACACACACACACACACAAGAGGAGACCAGAAGATAGATACCCTGTCCTCAGCTCCATCCCTCTGGTTCCCTCTGACTGGAGGTGCTGACCAAAGCAGCCCTAATGGGCCCTAACACTTGACCAATTCAGCTGCTGGCAGAGCGGGGAACCAAAGGTTTTCCCAAGTGGCATTTTCATCTCGCTTTCACCTTGACTAAAGATTGTCTTAAGCAGCAGCCCGACCTACCCAGCCCCAGGTGGGTGTTGGGGGAGAGGGAGAGCTGGCATTCCTCTGGGTGGCAAGCGACAACTCTATACCCTCTACCTGCCCCAGGTCTGGGTAGGATTAGAAAAATGCCTATTTTTCTTGTATTGATGTAGAAACTATTTTCTCCCAAAGACACTATTTTTGCAGCTGTTTGAAGTTTGTATATTTTCCGTACTGCAGAGCTTACACAGAAATTGAAGAATGTTAATGTTCAAAGTTTCTTATCCTATGTTTAGAGGTCGGGTTTTTTTTTTTTTTTTGGTTTTTTGTTTTGCAGATCTTGGTGTTAATAGACCAAATAAATAAGTATTCCCAGCAGCTGGAGGCTCTGTTAAATCTGTTTAGGGGGTGGAGGGTAGGGAAAGGGGTTGGAGATTGAGGCTATCCCCACTATCGCTTTACCCTTGTCATAAAAGGAAGGAGCCTGTACTTAACACAGTGATGTGGGTGTTGGATGGGTGGACATGAGTCCCTGTTCTTAGGCCAACAGGCTTGGGCTCTTTACAGGACATATACATAGTAGATCCATGAGAAGGCTGTCCAAAAGGAAGACTGCAGGGTGTCCTGGAGGTTGGGTGAGGGAGTCAGTGGGGAAGCCATCCATTCTTGGGTGACTCTACACAAATTCCCTATGGAAAGTAGGTTTCAGAGAGGAAATGGCAACCATGGGGTGACAGTTTGACATTGTGGACATTCCTTACACAGACAAAGGGAAGGAGACCAGGGAATAGCATTCAGCTTGAATCTTTTCACACAGTTTTGGCGAAGCTTTAGCTCCTTTTGGCTATGATTTCACATTTTCCTCAATACCCATAGCATAGTTTACTGTGCTGGTGGTTAGCCTTGTCCTTTGACAGCCTCTCAGCTTTCTAGTGGTGCACCTATAAGAGGGGGAAATGGGAATGATAATCTCAACATTATGATGGAAATTTACAAAGCATTTCCACAAAAGACTCATCCCAATGGTATTAGTAAAAAGTTGACTGCCCCAAGAGCATCCATCATAACTATATTTGTTGTAGTAACCCATAGTTTTGGAAGTTAAATTCACAGGAATCTATCTCTTAAGATCTCACCACAAATCCCTAAGCTGTACCAGTTACCATTCATGGCTTGGGTAAGTTACCAGAAACTGTGGTAAGTGCTTTATATGAAATGTCCCTGAAACGGCACAACAACCCAGTGAAAGCTGTGGTAAGTCCTCAGGGTGAACTGGCATAACATAGTGCATAAAGACAGTCTTCTATATCCTATTTTGGTGAGTAGTGACTTGTTATTGTTGTTAAGTGTTGTCAAGTCAGGTCCGGCTCATGGTACAATAGAGCCTATGTACAATAGAACATAGAACGTATGTACAGTAGAACAAACACCACCTGGTCCTATGCCATCCTCACAATTGCTGCTACGTTTGAGCCCATTGTCAACGCCATTGTGTCAATCCATCTCGTTGGGGGTCTCCCTCTTTTTCTCTATCCCTCCACGTTACCAGGCATCATGTTCTTCTCCAGGGACTAATCCCTTCTGATACTATGTCCAAAGTATGAGAGACGAAATCTGCCCAACTTGGCTTCTAAGGAGCCTTCTGGTTGTACTTCTTCCAACACATATTAGTTTGTTCTTGCAGTCCATGGTACCTTTAATATTCTTTAACACCATAATTCAAACGCATCAATTCTTTTACAGTCTTCATTAGTCAAAGTGGTCCAACTTTGACGTGCATATAAGGCTACTGAAAATACCATGGCTTGGGGCAGGCACACTTTAAACCTCAAACTGATCTCTGCTCTTCAACACTTTAAAGAGCAGCAGGTGTGCGTAAGGCAGTAAGTATGTCGTTTGATTTCTTGACTGCTGCTTCCATGAGTGTTGATGGTAGAGCCAAGCAAAATGAAGTCTTTAACAACAACAATCTTTTCTCCATTTATCATGATATTATTTATTGGTCCAGTGGTGAGAATATTTGTTTTCTTTACATTGAGATACAACCCATACCGAAAGCTGTGGGCCTTAAAAACCTGTGAGTGGCCATCTAAGGTGCAACTCTTGGTCTCTCCCCAGTATGGAGCAGATAAGAGTAAACAAAATCAAAGGTGCATGGAAACCATTAGTCCAAAGAACAAATGGAACCCAGGAACCCCCCTAGACTCCAGGGCCTGAGACCAGAATAACTAGATGAAAGTAATCAGAGTAGAAGGTCCTAGACCGAGTGGGAGAAAAATGTGGAATAAAATTAGAATTTTAAAAGACCAGGCTTGCAGGTCTAATATAAAGATTGATGGAACCCCCAGAATTCTGACCCTAAGTCACCTATTAAGTGACTCAAATTTCAGCCAAACAATAGGCCTATAGAGTGGATTATAACACCAGAGAGATAAAAGATAAGCCTTCCCTAGAAGAGCCACCCATGTGAGATCAAAGCTGCCCAGGGATAGAGATCAGAAGGTAGGAAGGGATGGAGAAGGGCAATGGAAACAGTGAACACAGGCAGGAAGAGAGAAGAGTGCTGTGACATTATGGGATTGCAATCAATGTCACGAATCAAAATGTATATAAATTGTTGTATGCTGTCCAGTCATCTCCAGCTCATAGTGACAGTACAGGGTTTCTGAGAAGAGCTGTTGCATTTGACCTGCCCACCTTATGATTAGGTGTTCAGTGCTTACTCTACAGCACCACAAAAGGGCTATATAAATAGGGTATATAGTTGAATAGGAGTCTTGGTGTGGCACTGTAGGATAAATACTGGACTGCTAACAGCAAGGTTGGCTGTTCAAACCCACCAACTGCTCCTTGAAAACTTTATACAGGTTGCTGTGAGTCGGTACTGACTCAACAGCATTTAAAAATAGAAAAACAATTTGCTCTATTAAACCTTCACCCAAAGTATAGTAAAAAAAAATTTTTTTTAAGATGTGGTAATTCCTTGTACTAATGAGGGAAGGGCAGAAAGTTTGAATAACTTCCCCCAAGAAACAGATAATGAAGTGGAGGACCTAGGATTGGAAACCAGATATTTGAATCCAGAGGCCATACTTTTAACTCCAGCACTCTCCTGCTTGCCCACAATATTTCTTAAGATAATTTATTTTTGCATATAATATACCCATGTAAATAACATGTACACACATAAGAGTGCACCCAGAACACTACCCTGCAAGAAAGCCTGACGGTTTGACGAAAACATATTGCACACGTTATTTGCATAAATATACGGTTATTTTCAGACAAGGAAACTTGACTCATAAGTCAAGTGAATTAACTGTTTTGAGATCCCAGCAGAGCAAGAGGCAGAGCTGACCCTAGATTGCTCCTTTCTACTTTGGTTTCTCCAACCTGCTAATGCTCAGTGCCCTGGAATCGGGTTGATTCAGTTGAGTAAGCCACCGGGCAAGAGAGCAAATGAGGGGAGCCAGCTCTCCCACTGAGGTGAAGGCAGACCCTATCTGTCTTCTGTCTCTTCCCCTCCCCCTGGAAGATTAAGTCTGGCCTGCCCCCAAAGCCTCAGTGAGTCAGGCCTGGAGTGATGGGTGTGGTGTGCCCAGAACTTCCTTCCTTTGCCTGAGGCTGTGCCAAAGGAACACGCTGCTAGAAGAGACGGAGCCTGCACCCAGTGTAACAGGCAAACCTGTGACTTAGGCCAATGTTGCTCTGGGTTGAAACCAAGTTGATGGCACTTAACAACAACTAAACAGGAGCATTGGTGTCGGCGCGGGGGTAATATTAGTGACCAGAAGAAAACCCTGATGGTGCTGTTAGGGTAAGCACTGGGCTGCTAAACACAGGGTTGGCAGTTCAAACCCACCAGCCGCTCTGCAGGAGAAAGATGAGGCTTTCTGCTCCCATAAAGACTTACAGCCTTGGAACCCCTATACAGCAGCCACTATGAGATGGAATGGATTTGATAGCAGTGGGTGGGTGGGTTCGTGACCTGAGGTCAGTTGTGTTCCAGTTCTGTGCCAGCAGGTGGAAAGACAGCACTCAGATGAGGACGATGTCCCACAGGGAACTTATTAATGGGGAAGAATCTGTCAGGCAACTGTAGTGTTTGCTCCATTGTTGGTGAGGTCTAAGACTTTGTAGCGAATTCACTTCAATAAGCTGCCATACTCACCTCTAGGCTGTGAGGAAATAAAAATCGAAATTGAGAAAGTCTAATGACTAATAATACCGTAAACTTGCACAGCACACATTACAATTTACAAAACACTTTCATAAACCTCAGTTTATTTGATCCTCAAAACAGTCGAAAGGCAGACAAGGTGGCTATTACCAACGAACCCTAGTTTATACACTGGGGAAACTGTCTCGTATAATTTAAGGACACGCGGAGATCACCCGGCCTTTAAGTGATCTACCAGAAGAGGCTGACTGCGCTGCTCTCTTTCTTAGAAGCCAACCTAGAGCTGTGTCCAGGGGAGGAGGCCTTGAACGCTCTTCCAGGTAAAATTGACGGAGCAGAGTCGCTGACGCTGGGCTGCAGCTAGAGGGCGGTGAGGCCCCATTGGAAGTTTCATGAAGTTAGGACCCAGCGGATGCCGGTCCGCGGACTGGGAAAAACGTATTGCTAACACTTTCATTTGCTCTGCAAACTGTACCTCCTCCTCCCCGCCCACTTGTCTGCCTTCGTACAGTACCACCAATTGGCGACCTCCACATCTCTATACGTCATCACTCCGCACCGGAGCACCTACTAGGCCTCCCCGTCAGGCTCTAGTTCGCAGTTGTCCTACAAATTGCCTTATCGGAAAAATTCAATGTCGAGTCATTAACCTCAGGGCACCTGACTCCCCTGAAAAAGGGTGATGGTGCTAAAACAGTGGCGTGAATCTTCTTTCTTTCGAAGCAACGTTGGGTTCTTTGGAGTTTTTCTCCTCGGCCACTCTGAACAGGCAGTTCTGATGGTGGCTTCTGGGACCTGCGGAGCGACAGTCGCTTGCAGCTCCTATGAGGCCCCCGCCGCCGGTCGGCGATGTCCGACTGGAGCTGTCGCCGCCGCTGCTCCCGCCACCGGCTGTAAGCGGAGCTCCGGTCGGCTTGTCCGGGCGTCTCATGGCCGCTAGCAGCTCCTTGGTGCCCGACCGGCTGCGCCTGCCTCTCTGCTTCCTGGGCGTCTTCGTCTGCTATTTCTACTATGGGATACTGCAGGAAAAGATGTGAGTGGATGCCGGGGGCTGGAACGCAGCATCCCCTCCCCAGCCCCTGGTCTCGTTGGCGGGCTTCTAACGCTGATTCTAGGCTTTCCTGGTGTCGTCACACCAGGTTTCCAGTCCTTTCAGCACCCCGCTGCTTCTGCAGCCGAGACTGAGCCTCCCCAGAATTCCAAAACGTGAGAGTAGGTCTCTGGATTCTCCAGATCTTGTTTTTCTTCCCTTCCCTTCTTTTTCTCTGCTGGTTTTAAAAGCCTAAATTTGACAGGATGAGATTTCTACACCCAGTTTTATTAGCGTACTGGTTACGAATCGGGCTGCGAACCTTAAGGTCAGCGGTTCGAAACTACCAGCCGCTCCGCGAGAAAAAGATGAGGCTTTCTACTCCCGTAAAGATTTACACCCTCGGAAACCCTGTACAGGGTCGCTATGGGTCGGAACCGACTCCACGACACTTAACAACAACAACAACATAGGAATCCTAGTGTGGCGCTGTGGACTAATGCGTCAGAGTCCAAAGTCATTTCAACTGCAAGGTCGGTGGTTCAAACTCCCCAACTGCTCCTTGGAGACCCTATAATACAGGTTCGCTATGGGTCAGAATCGACTCGACGGCACTTAACAACAACAGGCTAACACATCGTGAAAGCTTCCAGGTGCCTGCCAATCCAAACCCACTGCCATCAAGTCCCTTTGACTTATAACGATCCTTTATGGGGTTTCTGATACAGTAAATCTTCATGGGATCGGACAACACAGTTTCATCTTCCGCTCACGGAGTGGCAGGTGGGTTAGAAACACTGATCTTGCGGTTAGCAGCCTAATGCCTAGCCCACAGCGCCACCATTATTCCGCCGTTGGTCTTGCTGCCCTTAGGTAAATTCCTTCAGACTTGGGTTCAGGTTTCACTACCTAACGTTCCACGTTTACCTAGCTCCATCTTTTATGGATATTCTTATTTCTAGGCAAGGGGATCAGCAGTCTGGGATGTCTTATTTTCTAGATCCAATAAAGTCAGCCCCTTTTTGTAAATCAAGAGAGTGATCCCTACCGTACTCTCTTTACATACAGGTAAACAAGATAAGTTCAAAGCTCTAGTCATTATCATGAGAGGAGGGAAGAAATATATTAATCCGCCTTTCTTTTTCTTCTGTGTTTTTTTTTCTCAGAACCAGAGGAAAGTATGGGGAGGGAGCCAAGCAAGAGACGTTCACCTTTGCCTTAACTTTGGTCTTCATCCAATGTGTGATCAATGCTGCATTTGCCAAGATCTGTGAGTACCTAGATAGTACCTGATGTGTGCCCTTACTTCTTGGGTGTTAGGCATTGATGGTATTTCAGCCTGAGGATCTAGTTTGAACATCCTTCACCCCTTTAGTGCTCCCATAGCCCCTCTGTGTTCTATAAACTAAGGGCCTTGGAATGGGGTAAAACCTTTTTCCTTAAATTAGACCAATTTCTGAGTCCAAAATGTTCAATGAATGAGTCTTCTGTGTTCTAAATCTCCATTGAGAATATCTGAACTTTTTTTTTTTTTTGCTTTGTCCCTTTGACTTTTCCTTTATGGTTTAAGTTTTCTCTCCTTGCTCCTTGGGTTAATTAATCTCTTGGACTGAATAACATCCCCTGACTCCTCCCCTAACAGAGTTAAGCTTAAATTGGATTGAAGAGCTGAATAATCTTTAGAGATAGCCCAGTGTAAGAGGACAGAAATCGTTTGTGCTCTTTGTGACCTTTTGGTCTTAGTTGGCAAGTTCCTTTTCTGTGGTTTCTACTTTTGCTCACAAGTCCATCCTTGGCCCTACAAGGTTTCTCCTGTATATTCTTTGTTTTCTCCTAGTGATCCAGTTTTTTGACACTGTCAGGGTGGATCGTACCCGGAGTTGGCTCTATGCTGCCTGTTCTATCTCCTATCTGGGAGCCATGGTTTCCAGCAACTCAGCACTACAGTTTGTCAACTACCCAACTCAGGTGAAACCTCAAGGTGGGATGAGGGTTGACTCAGATGTGGTGTGAAGAGGACTAAGACTTCATCCCTTCTTTTATTAAAAAACAAACAGACAGCAGCCCTAGAAGAGTGTGTGTGAAAAATTGAGAGTGTGTAGCACCACAGAGCTGGCTGCTAGTGGTGGGGGCTTGGGCTGCTCTCTGAGGTGAAGTCCCTGGGACAGAGCCGAGCTGAGCCAATCCTCATCTATCTCCCTCCAGTACCTAGCACAGTACCTGGCACTTCACACATGTGTTCAGAAATTGTTTCTGAATTTAATTTCAGGTCCTTGGTAAATCCTGCAAGCCAATTCCAGGTAAGCAGAAGAATACAGTCTTCATCTTGCAATTTCACTGTCTCTTCCTCTACTAGAGCTCTGCATCCTCTTGGCTCCATCATCCCATCATAGGCATCTCCAGGGACTCCTGGCCCTGCCCCTGCACATCCTGCCGTCTGTATCGTTCCTGTGCTGTGGGCTGACCTAGTCTGCTTCACGTGGTCAGTCATTTCAGTGTCCCCGGGTGTGCATTGTACTAGGCACCCAACATCCCAAATTGTTCTTCAGCTTTTCTCTCACACTTCCACACCACTCCACACCCGGTCCTGTTCCTTCCAGGACCTTTCACCTTTGTTCTCTACCTTCTCTGCTGGATCCTGTTTACTCAAGTCTGTTGCTCAATCATCACTGTAGGTGCCAGCCTAGCACCCTCCACCTGTCCTTTGTAGGCCTTCCTTTTCAGGTGTTATTTTCTTCTGTAGCTTCGTCTTGACTCCTGGGAGGGAGATGTTGGGTAGTTACCCATGGGTGCCTGAATATTCCACTTTGTTTCTTTCCTATAGTCATGCTCCTTGGGGTGACCCTCTTGAAGAAGAAGTACCCGTTGGCCAAGTATCTGTGTGTGTTGCTAATTGTTGCTGGAGTGGCCCTTTTTATGTACAAGCCGAAGAAAGTTGTTGGGATGGAAGAACACACAGTTGGCTATGGAGAGCTGCTTCTGGTATGTGGTCCTGGTGGGGTGGGCAGCCTTTTTCTGCAAGCTGAGGGCTACTTCCACCTGGGCAGCAGAAGACCAGTTATATGGCTTAAAGGAAATTATATCCTTTACCCTTAGCTCTGGTCTTTGTGTCTTACAGCAGGCTCCCTGAAGTCCTTAGCTACAAGTCTCTTCCGGGCAAGATACGTCTCCAAGTTCTGTATCTTAAGCCCTGGTGTGAGGTCATGAGACCTGAGAACATAAAGGGAGGGAGTCGTGTGGCCCCCACTGGGGTGTTCCTTGAAACCTGGAAACTGGAGTTAAAAAAAAAAAAAAAATAGTTAACAATTGCTTACTGCTTATTAGGCACTGTTTCAAGTGAAAACTCAGCAATCACCTTATGACAAGGCACCCTGGTGGTGCAGTGGGATATGTATTGGGCTGCTAGCCAAAAGGTTGGTGGTTCAAACCCACCAGTTACTCCACAGAAAAAAGATGAGGCCGTCTCCTTCCCAAAAGATTAACAGCCCCGGAAATCCTGTGGGGCAGTTCTCCTATAGGGTCACTATGAGGTAGAATCAACTCGAAGGCAGCAGATGAATAAACTTCCTAATGTAGATAATATTGTTGTAGATACTATTCATTTTATAGATGACAAAACTGAGGCACAGAGAGATGGAGCTACTTGCCCATGGTGATGTGGTTGCTCAGTGGCAGAGTTAGGATTCCAGTGCAGGCAGTGAGGCTAACTTGCTGGGACTCAATTTTCCCTCTCCAGCTTCAGTTAGGGGGTGGGGGGAGGGCTCACACTGCACATCCATAGCATTGTGTTGGGAAGTGATAGACTTCCAGCTCCACTCCGATGACACTATGACTGTGTGGCTCACTAAGCTTGTCACTCCAGTGTTGGCGGGCTAGTGTGGTCTCCTCCATCACCCATAACTTGCCAAGTTTGGCTGTAGGGTCAATAGTTCAAACCCACCAGAAGCTCTTTGGAAGCCCTATACAGGGTTGCTATGAGTTGAAACCGGCTTGACGGCACTTACCAACAAGAACAACAGTATCTTGTGCTGAGGACTCTTTCTGAGTAGCCTGAGAGTTAGATCCTGTGATCTAACTGTGGTCCAAGTCAGGGTGGGACCCTATTGTCCTTGTCACTGCAGGCTGCACCCTTTCTTTCCAGCTCTTGTCTCTGACCCTGGATGGACTGACAGGCGTTTCCCAGGACCACATGCGGGCTCATTACCAAACAGGTTCCAATCACATGATGTTGAACATCAACCTCTGGTCCACGTTGCTGCTGGGAGCTGGTAAGGAGCAGTGCTGCTATGCTGTGCACGTAGCACCAGAGGGCAGAGTGCCCTGGTCCTGCTGGTCCCACGTTCTGCTGCCAGTTACCAACTTTAACCAATTCAAGGACCTGCGTCAGTTTCAAGATGCCTTGTGTCCAGGCCCCTGAGTCCTGAAGAAACCTTCACCAATGGGATCTGCTTATTACTTGTACCAAATGTGGGAAGACACACAGTGGTGAAATATAGGGGGTGACTCATAAGACAGAGATAAGACATTGGCTTGGGGCTCGCAGGAAGCAGACTTTAGGTGCTACTGAATAACATGAATGCATTTGCTTTTAAATCAGTGCTTCCTAGTCTTGTAGGTTTTGCACGTGTAGAAAGCATTTTTTATACAGTACTATAGGGCAGTGTTTTGTTCTGCTGTGCATAGGGTCGCTATAAGTTAGTACTGACTTGATTGCACCTAACAACAACAGCAATAGCGAAAATGAAGAGTCCTGTGTGGTGCTGTGGGTAATGTGCCAGGCTGCAAAGCCATTTGAACTGCGAGGTCAGTTCAAGCTCACCAGCTGCTCCTAGGAAACCCTATACTGGGTTGTTATGGGTTGGAACTGACTCAATGGCACTTAACAACAACAACATAGGGTAAATGAAATCCTTGTGTGGCACTGTAGGATAAGCACTGGACTGTTAACCGTTCAAAGTTAGCCATTCAAACTCAGCAACCAGTCCCTAAACATGGTCATCAGGATCTCTATGGTTCACAACAACAACAACATAGGGTGAGTGGAGAGGGTGGCACTATAGGAGAAGTACTGGACTGTTAACCACAAGGTTGGCAGTTTGAACCCACAACTCGCTCTTTGGGAGAAAGCTGAGGCTTTCTACTCCTGTAACAATTTACAGGCTCCAAAACCCAACATAGGATCGTTATGATTGGGAACTGACTCGATGCCTCTTAACAATGTAGGGTCAATGGAAGAGACCACACATGGCTGGAGGTGGCCTTGAGCTAGGATGTGCAGATCAGTGTCACCACATCTCTGCTTTAAATCTCAACTGTAGTTCTGTGTTATTTTTGTAACTTGTTAGTTTCCAAGGCTTTCCCACAAAATTGAATCTTATTAGTTCCTCTCGTCAGGAAAGGGCAGAGGCAGGTTATACGATGATGGCACAGTACAGACTCAGTCCTTAGGCATTCTCCCGTCCTTCACAGTGACCCTAGTACGGGTATGTGTGCGGGTGGGCACCGTTCATCATCTGACATGTCTTCCTTAGGAATCCTGTTCACTGGAGAACTCTGGGAGTTCTTGAGTTTTGCCGAGAGGTACCCTGCCATCATCTCAAACATCTTGCTCTTCGCTCTGACCAGTGCCCTGGGTCAAGTAAGTACCTTGAGAGGAGATAGCCAGGCTGGGAGCCTGGGGTGGCAGGAGTAGCCCTGATGTTCTGTTACAGACTTCAAGCTCATGGCAGATACCCAAGAACTAGCCCAACCCTACCTTTTTTCTCTTCCTCTCTAGAGCTTCATCTTCATGACAGTTGTATATTTTGGTCCCCTGACCTGCTCCATCATTACTACAACTCGGAAGTTCTTCACCATTTTAGCCTCAGTGATCCTCTTTGCCAATCCCATCAGCTCCATGCAGTGGGTGGGCACTGTGCTGGTATTCCTGGGTAAGTACCATCCAGAGCAGACCTCCCTACCACACACGGGGACAGGAAATGGTACTTCAGATTTTTTTCCAAACATTTTCTAGTATAATTATGAAGTTTAGATAGTTATTTTAGAGAAAGCCCTTTTAGAAGAGAAAAAAAAGAAATCACTAATTCTAGCTAGCCTTCCTAACAAGCATCTTAGTGTATTTTCGTCCACTGAGTTTGATTTCCCCAGATGCTAAGCAGGACAGAATTGTTAGGCTTAGTCCCTATTATGGGTGAACTGGAGCCCTGGTGTGGCGCTGTAGGACTGGACTGCTAACCCAAAGGCCTGCACTTCAAACCCACCAGCTGCTCTCAGAAACCCTAAACAGGGTCACTGAGTCGGAACCAACTCCACGGCATACAACAACACAAAATCTTGCTGCATTTTGTATACTTTTTATAATTCACATAAGGACTACAAAACGTTTGTGGAAAAATTCCTTTCTCTTTTAATTCTGTTTGTCCACAAACGTTTGAAGCCTTCTCATGTGTGTGTGTGTGAGTGCCATTATCTGCTGACTTTTTTCACTTATGCCATTGTATATTCTCTGGCAAAGTTATTTCAAATCAGTGTTTTAATGTTGCTGTAAAGTACTATTGAATCAGTTCAAATTCATAGCAACCCTGTATAGGGTTTCCAAGGAGCGGTTGGTGGATTTGAACCACTCACCTTGCAGTTAGCAGCCCAGTGCTTATCCTTCAGTGCCACACCAGGATTCCGTTTTGACATTAATATTCCAATCTGATATTAATATTCCAGTCCCGTTTCCCCCCCTCCCCCCAGTTATTGGTAGGTTTCATTTCCCTCCCGTAAAGCTGAGCTCATTTTCTTTCTTTCCTTAGGACTTGGTCTCGATGCCAAATTTGGGAAAGGAGCCAAGAAGACGTCCCATTAGGAAGAGGGGCACTACCTCCACTCCAAAAATATTTAACTTATTATCTCAAAAAGTGACATCGCTTGGGAAAATGGACTCAATAGAAACAAGAGACTGGGTTCCAGTCTTTTTTTAAAATATATATTTAAAAAAGAAATCTTGGATTTGAACAAGACAAGAGTTGGTGGTTTCTGTCCCTGATGGACCTAGCTGAGAGAAGGCAGAGGCAGCAGCATGCGCTGTGCACGTAGCAAACTGCTCTTCTCGGTGGCTAAGCGGGCGGCTGGAGCATTGTTCCCCAGGACCCAGGCCATTAGAGGGAGGAACTATAGATGATACAATTACACCGACATCCTCTGTTCTGATGGATGGTGAGGGACAAGATGTGTTAGGACATATGGCTCTGTTAGAGCCAGGGAATACAAAAACCACTTTCTCTTGTAAGTCTAGTAGGCAAGTATGAAACGTTAACGGCATGTTCTTTCCTCAAGAAGCTGCTCTTGAGGGTGAGGTAAAATGAGCCCAGAGCCTCAGAGTCAGTTGTATTATTTTCCCACTTCCCCACTGTTGCCCCTTCAGCCCAAGTGACCAAGACTAGAGCAGAGGTCCATGAGCACATGGTGAATAGCTTTGAAAAGCCTATGAATGTGACTTCCTCTCTTCACCTCTGTTGTCTGAGCACCTGGTCCCCTCCTGGGGAGGCTGGATTACCTCGTCCTAGCTCACTGCACCTTTAGCTACTAAAGCACTTCAGCTGTTTACCACTCCAGCTCTTGCCAAGGTGTTGCCTTGCCAGCTTCTGTCTCCTAAAAGGGGTGCCTGAGGAATGCTTGGTGTCTTGAATCCTGGCCCAGAGCCCCTGTTTAGTATTGGGATGGCGAAGGGGGTGAGGGGGAAGGTGGAGCATGGAGCACCGCTCTTCCCCCTCCTTCCCCCCTCTGCCTTCAGAGTTGGAGACCACAATTCCCCAAGGATCAAACTTTACACATGAAAGTGCATTTCTACCAGCTGCAACTTTCACTCCATCTGTTCAGCAGCCCCAGCCCCTTGGCTCTCCAGATGGGAGCCCAGCCTCCTTCCTGAGCGGCTGCCTCTCCACCCCCTGCCAAGCCTTTCAAGCCCAGTCTCACACACATCTTGCTCTCTAGGGGCCCGGGTGTCTCTGAAGCTCTGCCCCTAAAGGCCCCCTCTCATTTTAAACTCCTGGAGAGGAGATTTTCGCTACATCTGGGTGAACTTCCTTTCTCCACCCGTCCCCATCCCCATCTCGTCTTTTTTCCATCCTGAAGGTTCTATCAACTAACTTACTTCCTTACTGAGACTATTTACTTCCAGACTGTCGTTTTAGGGTTGGGTAGGCGCTTAGAGCATGTTCCTAAGGCCAGAGACTAACAAACAGTTATCACCTGGGCCTGTTGGTGTGCCAAGAGACGGTTTTCCAGCTGTAAGATCTATTCTCCCACCCCTTTCCTTGCCAGCTCCAACTAGCTGTCTCAGAAGTGCTGAGTACCAGTCACCACAAGCAACACAGGTCTTCAACAACTCAGTCTGGCTTTCCCCTGGTACTAGAGAAACTGCTCATAGAGGAGACATTTCCTACCAGTGGTGAGCTGGGAGCCCAGTTCTGGTGGATGCATTGAGTCACCTGCTCATTCAGTAACATTTATTTCCTGTGTACCACACACACTGAATAAGCCGGAGTTCAAAGTTGAGTAGAAACAGTACTTACCCTCTAGGGGATTCACAGCCTACTAAGTAAATTGTTACATCTCAAAAGTGCAGGGGTAACAATGAGGGGAGATGCCTAGGCAAGGTGAGACTTGAACTGGAGAGTGTAGGAAGATGAAAGAGAAAATGGAGCTGTGGCTCCACTGCCAAGTGGGAAATGGGAATTGAAACTGGCTAACTCTTCCCCTCCCGCCCCATGCTCCTGCCTTAGATCAAGCCAAGCGAAAACATGGGCAGCAAGTGGCTTTAAAGCAAGGTGTCCTTCACTTCAGTGTAAAGGTATCTGAAAATGGAAGTGACAGGTATGTTCAGGGTGGCATACCTATTGGATCATGAAAACTGTTAAATTTGTCTCAAGTTAGTAACACTGTTAGGTTATAATTGGGCTGACAACTGAAATACCAGACAAGTTCAAACATTCAGTGTGGTTGATCAGCTAACCCTGGGCAGCTCAATGCCTCAGGATTCTAAAGATCAAAGGACTTTCATCTACAGTTAACTGTCAACTATATGTAGAAGGGAGAGAATCAACATACACATTTCCCCAAACAGTAGTTTGGGGTGTATTGTACTTACTCGTGTTGACTGGTCAAGGCCTCAGGTTCACCTCCGATGTTTGTGTTCAGGCAGTTAGCAAAATGATCACACGTTTCCTATATACCTATCAGCCTAGGGCAATGGGGACAACTCAAGTGCGATTTGGAGTACAGCCAGAAGGAAGGTGATCCTGGAATGAAGGATTAAAAGGCAAAACTTTTATAGTTTTCAAAAGGATTTAAAGCGGCTGGAATTAAACAGCTGGTTAATCTGCTTCCGTAATGATTACAGCCAAGAACACCCTATGGAGCACAACTAGTGTGTGATCACTAAACGTTAGAATGGACTCAGCACATGTTAATCTATGAAACTGGGTAGTTAGGAATGGCTTATGTCTTTTCCCACAGCCCTATAACACCCTTGTGAAAAGAGAACTCAGCCAAGTGATGTGTAGCTTTTAGGGGAAGAATAACTTGAGTGAGTGAAGATAAATAACCTGCAGTAGGTCCCTGAGAGATGAGCTGGAACTCAGTTTCCTGAGTTCTAGTTGCAACTTGGACCTGTGCCCTCTGAGGGAGCAAAGGAAAGCTCCTCTGAGGCCCATTGCCCCTGCCGTCTGGCCTTGCTTGCCAGGAGAACAGTTTTAAGAGTGGCATTGGTCATTTTCCCCAGATGCCCTGGCAAAGAAATTATCCTGAGTGCTAGCACTATTCAACCCTTCCCCCTGCAAACACCAGCTGTCTTTAGGAACAATCTGATGGTTATAGAACTTGCCCCAAACTCTTAACTCTTAAACCAAACCTACAGCTATTAAGTTGATTCAGGCTTATTATAGAAAACTTGAAGGTCAGAGAACTGCCCCATAGGATTTCCAAGACTATAAATCTTTACAGAAACAGATGGCTGCATCTTTCTCCCATGGAACAACTGGTGGATTCAAACAGCTAACTCTGGTTAGTAGCCAAGTACTTTAACCACTGCACCATGAGCGCTCCTTCAATGCTCTTTGTTATGTGTCGTAGAGTCAGCTCCGACTCACAGCAATCCTGCACAGGGTTTCAAGGCTGTCAATCTTTACTGGAGCAGAAAGCCTCGTCTTTCTCCCGTGGAACAGCTGGTAGTTTTGAACTGCTGACCCTGAGGTTAGCAGCTCAATTCGTAACCACTACGCTACCAGAGCTCCTTCAGTGTTCTTTTTTGTTGTTGTTAAGTGCCATTGAGTTGGTTCCGACCCACAGTGGCCCTATATAGGGTTTCTGAGGAGCAGCTGATGAGTTTGAACCATTGACCTAGCAGTTCAAATGGCTTTGCAATCTGGTGCATGAACCCACAGCGCCACTCCAGGCTCAGAACACTCCTAGGAAGAGGTTAGGCCAGAGATAAGTTGCCCTATATTTGGGATCGGGAGCTTGGAACCACCACATTTTATCAACTGAAGGTCATATGCTGATTCCTTGGAAGATCAGGAGCCAGAACTGAGTCCCCCACCCCCACATGTCAGGGGTCAGCTAGCTCTTTAACCATCAAGGAGCTAAGCCAGTGATTTCCAGTCATTTGGATTTCCTGGTCTAGTAGAATTTTAAACTAATTTTTTGGGGGAGGGGGGCTGACACAGGTATATTGGCTTTTTATTTTTTAAGTAAAGACATTTTAAAAAAAAGATGGGAGTATAAACACACCATTGTTCTGACCCTCCCTCACAAGCAAGAAATAAGACGGGTAGCAGTGCTTGACTTTGAGGAACAGAAAAGCAGCAGGGAACTGCAGACAGGTAAGAATCAACTATCAGTGTGTTACATATATTAGGAAACTTGCTTTTCCCACTGTCCCTGAACTTCTCCAAGCCACATGGGCCATTGGCTGCTGTGAACTGGGATAGTGATCCCACATAAAGAGCCTTCTTTGCTAAGCACAACAGCCCCTGCCTGTCCAAAGAGACAGGACCCAAGCTTCTGTCCTAAAATCAACAAGGCAGACCTCCCCAGTGTGCCAACAGCTCTCCTACCCAGACAGATGTGCAATGGAGTCTGCTCTCAGTCAACACTCCGTCTGTCTCCCTGTGTATACCCCATAGCTCAGGTTTCTGACGCTAACAGGAGAGACCTCCCTGGGGGAAGTTTGGGTCTGTCTGTTCCCCTTTACTTCAGTGCCCCCACAGAAGACTGCTGACTGAGGCTGCTCCATGCTAGTGAGCAAGCATCTTGAGTGGAGTCCACATCCACAGCCAACGTACTATGGGAGGTGCTCTGATAGCAACAAGGCAGACCTCTCTGGGGGACTGCTCAGAGTGTGACTACCCCTCCACCAACTGGTCACTGTCAACTGCTGGACTGATGTGCAGAAGGGTTCCTAGAATGAAGTCAGGAGATAACCTACCTAAGTGGAGATTTCTCCCCTAACCTCTGAGGTTCCTCCTAGAACCAACAAGTTAGATTTCCCAGGGGCTTTGGGGAGTGCCAGATTGGCATCCTCCTGAAACAGAGGAAAGCCTACCTGTGCTTCCTCTGAATGCCAGCCTAGATAGAAGCAGTCCCTACAGAACAGGGCAGGAAACTTAGGCAAAATTAGAGGTCTACACCCGGGCCCAAAGGGGATTTGTTGAGTGTGGGTTTTCTGACAAAAAAAAAAATATGATTGCAGAAACAGAGAGGGGCAGGGAATCATAATCAGAGATGGACTGTGCCCCCTGGTGGACATATTGGTTAATACATGATATCTCGTGTGAGTGGCAGAGCCTACTGGTGGACAAACTGACCAGAGCATGTTCTTTGGTATGTTTGGGAGCTACTCAAACTTGAAAAATAAAGATCCAGGACTTTTAGATTCCAGTCAAATCAGGAAGGAAAAAGGAATTATTATACAAAGAGAAAATGGTAAACAAAAG